TCAAATCGAAAAGTAAAAAAGGATTGTTCGTCTTCAGCCATCTTATAGCTAAGAGGATGGGAATGCTCGAAAATACGACTCGCTGTCAATCTTGACGTCTCTATCCAAACATGTGTTGATGTGGAAAAAGCAGAGTTGAAATCCCAAGGAAATCCAAGACCAAGACAATTCCATGGAAGAATAAACATAAGAGCACACTAAGAAATGCTGGTGTATTCCGTGCTCAACTAGTGCACTACGGCATTTCCTTTTTCTCAACGTGGTTTTGGTGAGTAGGTATCTACGGATCCAATCAAACGATCTCGGAACCATTGTAAAACCTTTCTTATTCTTCCTTTTAGGGCAACGAACGTGAAGTAGGTAAGTTTGGGTCGGCAGGATCCATTGGACATGTAGCAATCAATCAACACGTGAACTGATGAAGAGATTAACATGAAAGCCTTGCAACCACAAAGACGGATGGAATTATGCCATCTTCGTATAGGTTCGAGTAGATGATTCCAAATTTCCCACCTCAGCATTGAAGTCGACGGGAATAATTAATCGACTATTTTGCCTAACACAGCCGAGAACTGTTGATGAATAGTACTCGTGCAATATAAAATCATGTCTATGATAGAGGATGAAAATTGATAACACTTTTTTATTTTCGACTGAAAGTATTATTATGGTAGGAAAAGATTGATAATATAAGCACAAAAATTTTAATCATGTTTTTGTTATATAAAAAATTTAATATTAATAACTAAAATTAAATAGTCATATATCAAATATTATATATGTGTACCTTTCGATATCATTTAGAAAATTTTTATTTGATATAAGAACATATTGTATAATTCGATAACACAATAATATAGACTAGACTTTACTTTTGTCCTTCGTAAGATCTTTATAATCGTTGAAATTAGATGGAGATGCAAATGGATTTATAATCTCGTCTAATCCCATATGTTGAGTTCTTATAAGTTCTCTCTAGTTATATAATAACTAGACATAATATAATATTTATTATTGGGCTTTATGTAAGATTTCAATCTAATTCCAAATAATCTAACTTTAAAATAGTAAAAAAGATTTTAGGTACTTAAAAGAAATATTGTCTTTAGGATTATTATATCATAAATATAAATATCACATTGAAGCTTAGTTGATGGAGCATCTAAAAAGTGTTGTAAACTCTACTTTTAACCTCCTCCTCCTCTTGAATTTGATTATAATTTTAAGTTGTAGGAGGTAAGAGATCTTGTATAAAAAGAGAGTGTGAAAGTTATCTTCTTAGCTTGAAAAAGTAAAAAAATATAACAAGGGTAGTTGATATTCGTCTATTGAAAAGAAGATTGATAGTGAAAGCCAATGACCTCGAGAGAAGATTGAACTACTATAAATCAATTACTTGTGACTTAGTTTTATTCTCTTTACTTATAACTTTAACTCGATTAATTAAGTTTCAAAAATGTGTTGCTTTATTGATCGAGTTTTAAAATTGATTAAAAACGTTATTGTACTAATTCACCCGCCTTCTCAGTGCCATTAAGATATTAACATTATAATTATGATAATAAAATTTATATTCCTTGAATACTTTTGTATAACTAATAAAATACCTAGAAGTGTTTTATGGATCTAATTTCTTTTTACGTAGATTGAAGACTCTCAACCCCAAATAGATAGATGTTTCATATTAATTTTTTTACTAGTTCATCGTTTAAATAGAGTTGATAGAATTAACTTACTAGGGACTTTATTTATGATATACATAGTTATCCTAAAAGCCTCACCTCATATCGATTTAAGTAGAAAGGAATAACGCATCATACTCCTAATTATATTCATATAAATATGATTTTACCTTTCGGTAATGCTACTCTGATGTGGCACGTCTAGTAAGGCATATTAAGAATAAATATTTTGCTTTTCTAGGAATCTAGCAAAAGGGTTAAGATTTTGACCTAACTCATTATATTTACCATAAAATTTATCACCCCTGATTTGATAATTTTAACTATTCTATCTTATTATCTCTTGACTTCATTTCCTAAGACTTTTTATGTATTAGATATACATAGTTATATTTTTTTAGGTCATCTATAAATATAATAAATATTAGTATGAATTATCTAAAAGAATTCTTTACTTCTTATGATATTTTTTATTATATGCTTTGTTTACTTTTCTTTGATGTAATCTATGCAAATATTAAAATTAATAAAATCTAAATCTTATAATTTAAATCCTTCGTTAATATCTCAATTCTTTTCTTAAAAATATGTCTTAAATATTTGTATTATAAGATAGAAGATTTCTTATTATCGAAACTATACTTTAATCCAACATTTAACTGTAGAGTCACCAATATCTTTGTAAACTCAAGATTCAAATTAATTGTATATAAACGATCACATAAAATTTTAAAAATGATTTTTATTAAATTATAAAATATATTAAGTTTACTATCACTAAACGAAATATAATAAATGACTCGTTAATTATAGATAAAGAAACTAAATTTCTAGAAATAATATGAACATAGCATGCATTTGAAGTTTCAACTTTTTTTGTTACGAGCTACTTGAGTAGTAGTCAAAATATTATAAGATCTTTATTGTCTTAATTTTAATTTATCATAAGCACGTATACTAGTTAGCTTGTTCAAGTCATTTATCTTTATTTATATCATAGTGAATCTTAAATGAACTAAATTGAGGAGAAGGAGAATTAACAATGAGCTATACGAGTCATCCACATTCATGTCTTATTCTTTAAGTTTTACGGTCTTGTAGTCATATTGAGGATATGATCTTAAATCCCTCAAGTACCATCATATTGAGCAATATTCAATTTCCTCATCAATGTGTTAGTTAATAATTTATCAATAGATCATCATGGTAGCCCGTCGACATCATTTGCTAACCAATAGATCATCATGGTAGCCCATCGCACACAATAGCCTCGTGGTTGTCTAGTAGAGCGAGCAAAAGACATCCGCACTGTCATCTATGTCGCATCGTTAATTAATGTTGCCATGACCACCTTCATCGCTTTTGTCATTACCAACTAAGGCCAACACCCAAGGACCATTGTTGTAGATATGGTAGTGACACTCAGTAGGGCTATTACCTACGATTTGGTAGCCACTTTAGGTTGTCATCATCGTTGGGTTGCTACACCCTACAACACTACCACTAGCGTAGCAAGTGCCCACTACAGGGTCGGTGACCAAAGTAGTCGCTACCCAATCGACACAATTCCAATGGTGATAAGTTGTTGATGATAGTTCACTATCCAAACAAGACAACATGCTTTCTAATGCAATTCCACTCGTGTTATAGTGCTCACATGCATGCAATAGGATAGACAGGATAGGAGAATAGATCGATAACAAATCTAAATATAAATATAAATCTAAATATAAATAGATCTATATGGTTTGATTTCAAACCTTGTTCTGGTACTAATTGTAAGTATAAAAACTTTGATCATGCTTCTATTATATAAAAATAACTTAATATTGAGAACTAAAATCAAATAATCATAAATCAAGGATTAGATATGCATATCTTTCGATATTAGAAAATTTTTATTTGACATGAGAATACACTCCATAATCTAATTCATAAAATGCAACAACACTAATCTGCAAGAGAATTAGACTCTCCTCTTTTCCTATTATTCATAGGACTATTGTAAGTGATAGAATAAGGATTAGAGAGCGATGAGAAAGGATTAATAATATTGTATATGTTATGTTATCACACATATCAAATCCTTAGAAGGTCTATAAACGAGAATAAAAGATCTAAGATAAGTAATGAGAAGGGTTTCTTCCATCAAGATCATCTCGTAAGAAATCCTATTATAAGTAGATTTTTTTTTTCTATCGACTGATAATCATAGTCAAAATTTAATTAGATCTATAATATATCTTGTTCAATTAAACAAGATCACATAATCTAATAGATAAATTATTTAACATATGCATAACAATAAGTTGAGTTATATACAAAGAATAATTAAAAAAATTTATCAAACCAAATACATAAAATACTTATTAGGTGTCTAATCATGAATATGAAATAAACACATAATCATGATTCTGACTTAGGCTAAAGAATAAAAAAGGAAATATGAAAGTCTAAAATGATTGAGTTCACCATGAAACAAGTAAACATCGCAAACCACATAAATCCAGAAACTCGCAGTCATACGTGAAGAAAGATTTCATCTAAATCTTTAATTCGTCGATGAAGAAGATTTAAACATGATCTCTAATAGATCATATAGGAACGAGAGATATAGAATAGTAAAGAAAGGTTGGCAGTGGAGCGTGACACACAATAGTATATATCGGTTTTGTTGTATGGCAATTGATTCACCCCGGCATGCGGTGGCTCCCAAGTCATAATGCAAGCAGATGGAGGAAGAGTGAGTGGGTCGCTGCATGCTGGGGTTCTTCCATGACTCCATGTCTTCACCTTTGCTCCTTCAAGAAGCAAACTCCCACCACCTACAACTTCCCTTTCTCCGGCTGACTTATGTGAGATTAGTATATGTTCTCTTCTCCTTTCCATGTTCCTAACAACACTATAATACCATATTCTGTAATTGGTTCTTATAAGAGCAGCAGTATTTATCGTTGACAAAGATGGGAACATATATATGGGATGTTGATGATGTGTCTCAGCTTGTAAAGCTTTTGATCTCCTTCAAGCTAGCAAGATGAAATATACCAACTCAGGTCATGAAAGGATCACCTCAGAAAAGTGAGTTGTAGGGATTCAAGCTACATGTATTTTGGTTTTCTGTATCCACACAAGGAATGATTTCCAAATCCTAACTGATTTCTACGAAAAGAAGAGCATGGTGTACATCAAAAACCAGAGGAATGATTGCCACAACTTATAAAGACCAGTGAATCATTCTGCTTCGCTTTGTCTACAATCCACCCAACCACATACATATACTTAAAGGTCTGCTACATATAGTGCTGATCTAAGCTTCTGTCGTCCAACATAGTAGAGAAGAAGAAGAAGAAGAAGAAGATGGGTTCAGTACTGCTACTCTCTTACATGCTACTTACCTTCCTCTGTTCACTCCTCTTATCCTCAGCTACTTCTCCTCATGGCCTGGCCTTCGAGAACCCAATGTCGTTTCCACCGTCGGCCTACGAGTTCTTCCACCCGACCGTCGACGCACCTGAAACTGCACCACTGCCTGCGTCGTCGCTCTACCCCGGAAAGACCTCGGCGAGGGCAAAGGCCGACGCGGTGGTGGGGGGAAACGTGTTCTCGGCCCCTCCGGGTCGTGGCGGGGCTGTGACCGGCGCCATTGCTGCCGTCGTCCTCGGGCTTGTGTTTGTGATGCTCGTGGCTGTGGTGTCCGCCTACATTGCGATCAAGCGCCGCAGCGATGTCATCAAGGCCAATGCGGAGATGAAGGCTGATGCATGAGTGAAGGAGACTTCAAATCAGCAGACTGCGTTCGTAACAGTATAAATTATGTGGAGGATTTCAAGCGGGCCAGCTCGAATATGGGAGAACGCAAGGATGATGTTAAGAGGCAGCGTGAGTGGTGATGCACGATTATTACAGCTCTTTGCACCACTTGATTAGCTTCCGCAGTGTGTTTCTAAATATTGATCGGCCAAATAATTTTCCGGAGTATCCGTAAAAAGAATAGTTTTCTCGTCGGGTATTATTGCAACAAAATCCGAATATTTATGGCTCCTCCCTCCACCGGTAGTCTTCAGTTGAGTTCGGTGAGATTGGACATTACTCCAAGACATCATTAATGGGGTGATCAAAGAAAAGGCATGTGAGGATATGATACTGTAACAATAATTGTATTTTCATTATTATCCATTGAATCAGAGTAAGAGTTAATGTGAGGAGGGGTGATTATACGAATGAGTCAGCTATTATTCAGTCGTGAAATCATGCACCGAATCATCGAACATTATAATCAATCATAGGATAAATAATTCATGCTACTGTCGAGAACTATCGACTATCGAATAAGACTGATTGGTAGTGTCAATTTGATAGCATTATAAGATGGTCATTCGACTGATCTATTGAGTTGATAAAACGAATTATATAT